GGGGGTCGGTGCTTTAGCTCCTCTTTGTCCCAGCGTTGGTGCCTCTCTCTGTTCCCAGCCGCTGCGGCTTGAGGTGTTCCTCTTTCCTTAGATATCTAAACGCTGGGGAAAAAACAAAACAAACCACAGCAAAAAACCAGCAGCAAGTGCTGCTTCTTCTGACTTGTCTCTGCTGGGTTTGGTGGCCACCCCGGTAGCACCTGATGATAACTCTCCAGCAGGGACAAGGACATTGTATCTGCCCGTGGAGCTGCAGCCCAGTGCACAACAACATGGGGAGTTCCAAGGAAGACACGGATTTCTAAACCAAGACCTTTTAACTCCGTGTTTAGCCTGGACTCTGCTCTGCAGGTGTTGATTCCTAGAAGTCACGCCAAGTTCTACTTCTTGTTGCAGACAAGGACTCCCCAAACACGCCCTGCGGCATCACCCGCTGCCCGAGCCCCGAGCTGAGCTGTGCCCAGCTGCACCCAGGCTGGGAAAACATGGAGAGTGCTCCAGGTACAGAACGGGAATCTTCGGAGATGACGGCAAAACAGGCACCTTTGTGCAGGGTTACCTTTACAGAAGGGATGCAGTTGGTTGGGTGCTACCTCGGGGCTGTATCCCTCCTCCATGTCCCTCCTGTTCTGGAAATAACAAAGAGTGTGTAGCTGTGCTCTGTTCCCAGGTAAACTGGGTCATCTGATTTCATGGCAGAAACAAGAGAAGAAAAGGTAAAAGTAATCCCTGAGTGGTGTAGAACCAGGGCTATGAAATAGTCTGAGAGATAATGTTTGGGAAACCCACGTTGTGTGTGACCTCCAGGCTTCCTGTGTCACTCAGGTTATTAGCAGTTAGTTAGAATTATTATGGCTTCTGCTCAGATGCCTCTGAACTGAATATTTACCCTCTGAAATCTGTCACTGTTGGGACCTACTCTGGTATATCTATGCCTCTGTGTACAGAGAGGAAAGTTTATTACCCACTTTATTTGCCTTGGAGTATTGTGTGTGTGTTTCTTCCTTTTGTGTTTTTTTTCCCCCCTCAAATCGTGCATTTCAGGGAGCCTGAAACCTGGAAGGAATCTGGTAGCCCTCCTGTCACCCCAGCTGATGGTGGGAGTTCCTGGTGTGCTCAAGGGAGCTGTGCTGACACCCTCACTGAAGGCAGCTCTGTCTTCTCCTGGGGCTACGATGTGAGTGGAGCAGACCCATCCAGGCCATCTGTAGCACAGTGGGTAGAAAGGCCTTTTTACAATTGCCACTGCAAATTCATTTCAGGAGAAAATTCAGGAGCCAGGACAGTAGTTATAGAAAACACATCTTTTTTTTTTACCTCT